AACAGACTTGGGAGCTATTCACACATGTTTCTGTCACTTCTGTACACCTTGGGGAAGACATTTCTTAACTTCTCTAAGCCTTGATTTTATCATCTGTCAAATGGACATAACAAAAGTACCTCCCTTACAGACGTTGTTCTGTGATTTAAATGAGACCATGCCTAAATTTCAAAGGTTTTTCTGGCTGGTTGAAGAAGTAAATTGACATGAGACAGATGAACAGGAAAAAACAAATGTAATTTTGTATGTATGGGAACCCTTACGTATATGAGGGATTCAATAATGGAAAAGTTAAATGAGGTATATATGCCATCTTGAGCTAAGGAATGGGGTAGGGGCCTGGGGCTTCAAAGGGGAGGAGGGCAATAAGAAGAAGAGATTAATAATTAGATATTTGCCCTGCCATACAGGTAAGTCATTCAGATAAAACTTATCTCTGATAGTAACTCTTATTCTGGCAAAACCCCTCCATTTAGATTCTTCTAGGTATTTAAGGAAGGGTAGAAAATTTCTCTTAAGCCTGCAGGGTCTTGATTGCTTTCAGCTCAAAATAGTTCACATGCCAAAGTAGTACATTTTGGGGAGACTTGTTCTGAACCCCTCCACCTACAAAGCTGTATGCATTCATTATATATTAATATCATTAAATGGGATAAATGTGGGGTACTTTAGAATTCGTAGCACATTATACAAATATTACTAATGCTTGTACTACTGAGGTGCAAATAAGTTAAGTGTGACCTAGCCAAGGTAACACAGCGAATGAGTAGTGACCAGGTTCTCACCCGGTTTGCCTGTCTCTAAAGCAATTATTTCCTGCCATTTATTTACAGTATGGACTGAATTTGTACTGATGCTGTGACATAAAATGAAAAGGTCTCTTGGAAGAGCAATTCTTGATCTCTGCTTGCCATTCTCATAGAAGCAGAAGTCGGGGAAATTCTGGGTGTTTTGTTTTGTTTTTTTGGGGTAAGAATGTACTGTTTTAAAAACCTAGACAAGGAACATACACATAGAGAAAGATTAAATTTAATTTTCTTTGCTCCTTTCTTCTTTTTGACTCTCACTTTATTAAGGAACGGTGCCTTGCATATACTGGCGTTAAATTCATGCATGTTGTGTTAAAACAAATTTGCATTTTACTAAAGGAGAGAGAGATTAAGGCTATTATTCCCTATTAACAATGTATTTATAGGGACATGTTCCTCTCATCTTTTAAGACAAAACATTTCTTGAAATTTATAGAAATTTGACAGTACCTGTCGCAGTTACAGATGAAAGTTTCTGTGTGTAAGAGTATTTTTTTCATCAAGTTAGCAAGTGAAAACAAAACAAATGTCTGTGCTACTGGGTCTAATTCAGTTAACTGTACCACTTTGAGTACGCCCTCTCTGCCCAGATTGTATACTTTTCGTTTGTTCCACAGGATTGCGTCTTCTAGTCTTTACCTACGAAACCTCTCCAACTGCTTTCCCGTTTGAGTTCATCTCGTTCTATTTTTCTGTCACTCTTTTGTCTTCCCTCACTTCTGTTTTATGATTCCTAAGGAGATTCCTAGGAGGGGTCACATGAACCAGTAAACAGGGCTGCGGGCTTAGGAGAATCAAGCGGCTGGCACAGTGTGAGTCCAGGGCCCTGGCTAGCCATGGGTGTGTGCTCCACCTGCAAAGGCCACCCCAAAGAAAACCATGCTCAACTCCTTTTCATCTTGCAATACCTGTGTGAGTCCTAGTTACTTCTTGTCCTACTTTCTGAAAGAAAAACCAAGGTCAGGGACATGTCTGGATATGTGGGTTCCATTCTGGCCTGCCTCTGCCATGTCATTTCTTCTCCTTAATCTTAGAGAGTGACACCCATAATTTCTCCCCAAGGACTCCCTCCATGATCTGGCTACTGTTTAACTTCTATACCTTCTCTCTCTCCAGTCCTGACTCCACTGTACTAGAACCCCACCACAGGCCTTCAAACATGCTCTTCCATCTGTCTGAGGCACCCCTGGTTCCTGCTCCTGTCCCTGACTGGTTCCTACTCAGCCTTTCAGCCTCAGCAGGGAAATCAACCCCTCAACGGAGCTGGTTTTTCTTTTCTTTTTTCTTTTCTTTTTTTTCCTTTCCTTTTCCTTTTCCATTCCTCTCCTCCCCTCCTGTCCTCTTCCTTCCTCCCTTCCTTCCTTCCTTCCTTCCTTCCTTCCTTCCTTCCTTCCTTCCTTCCTTCCTTCCTTCCTTCCTTCCTTCCAAAAGTAGGCTCCATGCCCAGCATCAAGCCCAACGCAGGGCTTGAACTCATGACCCTGAGATCAAGACCTGAGCTGAGATCAAGAGTCGAACACTTAACCAACTGAGTCACCCGGGCACCCTGGGAGCCGATCTCTTGATCCAGGTTAGGCCCTCATATGGGTTCCCATAGCATCCTGGTTCTCCCTGCCACCCCGACTCCCCAGTTTTCATTTGGAATTATTTGTTTACTGTCTGGTTTGCCAGCTAGAATGTATGCCTAAAGGTAAGGATCCTGATTTTTTATTTACTTTTGTGTCTCTTATACTTAGCAAATAGTTGGCATTCAATAAATATTGGCTGTGGGTGGCGGAAAGCAACTAAGCAGGGCATCAAAGGAAGCTTCCCTAGGTTGCTATCAGCTTCACCCCCTTTGCCCCAAATGTAATGGGTATATAATAAGACAAACATTTCTATTCATCAACCAAAGCTTTCTTGGGGAGAGCACTGTGTTTGCTTAGAAGAAATACTGAAATAGTTAGCAGATATATGGTTAAGAATATGGACTTTGAGGATAGATTTCCTGGTTTTGAATCATAGATCTGCCACTCAATGGCTGGAAAACCTTGGGCAAATTACTTCTCTAGGCCTCAGTTTCTTCATGTGTAAAGTGGGGGTGAAAATAACAGCACCTACCTTAGAGGACTGTTGTGAGGATTATATGCATGAATACACACAAAGGACTGAAGAATTACTGCATACAGAAACACAAAGTGCTGGCTGATATTATTACTACTAGTAAACCATTAGGTGTTGGGGTGAGCTCAAGGAACCAAAGTTGGTCACCAAATTCTGCTTGTCGGGAAAGTGGTCCTGTTCACTGTGGGCTTTTTGTTTTGTATGTTTGGGGAGAGTTGCTGAAGCCAAGCTGATTTACTGTGCCAATTAGTGATGAGAAAATTTCGACATTGGCAGGAGAGGGAGGCAAGAGCCATTTGTACATTCAAATATTTACCAAATGTCTATTTTCTGCTAGACATAAAGGAAAATAAGATAGTCACAGCTGTTACAGAGCTCCCCAAAAAATCAAGAAAGGAGAGAGAAGCTAGAGAGTCTGGGGGGCTGGGGGGGCTGGGGGAGCTGGGGGGCAGACCAGTTTCTCTCCAGTAGATATGGCACAGCAGAGGAGGATATTGAGAGAACAGAAATGCTAAGGCAGGATTTGAAAGTATCTGCTATAGGATGTGTCATGTAAATCCTCTCCTCCATCCCCTACAAAATCTTCAATAAAGTTTTCATTGCTCACTGGAGAGAACTTGAAGAAGGGGAAGATAGCAGATATCTGGGTTATAACTGTTAGGGGAAAGAAGCTATAGGCAAAAAAGCCCTTCCTTACTCTTGTGTACTCTCAGTGAGGAAGCATTACAATGCATGCAATATTTAATGATTGTAAATGATACCTCCATGCATTGTATAATACAAGACTCTTTACAACGAATATAAATTAAACAGTACCAAGAGCAAACATATCACTGAAAAGAAGAGGCATTATTCAAGACAGGAAACCTGGGACTTCGAGGGAAAAGGAGCCTCAAAGTTGGGAGTCACATATGACCACCAACCAGCCCCTTTGTGGTTCATTAGTCAAACTGGTGATTCCTCAGCAACTATGACTTGTTATTTTATAAACCACTGCTTAAGAGGATGCAGACTTTCTTAAACATAAATATCCTAAGGTTTAGGTATGGGGGAAAAAAAGGGGTCTACTATAGGGTCCACTAAAGGGCTCCCATCCTTTTATGACTTCCAGTTTTTCACTTTTACCATCATTTTTAAGAATTTAAAGAATTGTATATAACAATCTAAAGAAATAACAATTTAAAGAAATGTATATATTTCTTTTAAAAAGCAGCAGCCTAAGAAGTAATCAGTCATCAAACAAAATAAAACAAAACTATCAATTTGCCTGAATTTCCAAGAGTGAAATAAATAAAGCTCTGTTGGAATTTACCTACACAAATTGAGACTTTCCAGGGAAGAGAGAAATAAACTAGTCTTTTTTTCTTTTTTCTTAGATTTGTTTACTGTTTAAACCCTGGGGTTTTTGCATCTTATAATGTGACTACTGATTAAAAAGATATATGGTTGTTTATTAATGTTCTCAAAGCATGATGCAAATTCACATCACCTTGGGTATATTTTGCCCCTAAAGTTATGAAGTAAATATGGAAGCATTTTGTAGTTAACAAGGCCAAAATATGTTAATTCAAATAGTTGGCTTTGAATAGGATTTTCCTTTAAATCATTAATAGGAAAATGAAGAGAGCTTGGGTGGTCAAGCATGAAATGTAAATGAGAGTAGTTTTCTTTTTTTGTCTCATCCTCCCATGTTATTTGATGTTAAAATTTAAATTTGATAATGCAGAATATGACCTTATCATGAAACAATGCAGCTTATGCTCCAGATTTTTTTGACAGCAGTATTGTAACAATGATTTTTAAGTACCATTTTCAAATGAGAAGTTCAGTGAAAAAGTTAGACATTTTGAATTGGTAGAGTCAGAAAACGAGCTTTCCTGTCCTTTTATCTACAAGACCATATATTTAAAATCAAAAACTAAGATAGAGGGTGTAGAGCAAAGCAGAGACAAACCTAGATCTCTCTAAATGGATGTAAAATTACCAGTGAAATCCCTGAAGGGCCAAATAATACAGGAAGCGTATACTTTTGCCCTCTTATTAAAATGAAGAATATGTTTCTTTAAAGCAGAAAAGGGCTTTACAAACCTTTGTTCAGCTCTGGGTTTCTAATCAGCCGCAGAACTGCAACCATTCCCTATTGTCAGGCCTCTGGTGAGAAGCGCAAAGGAGCCAGCCGCAACCAAGAGCTCCGCAAAATCAAGGTGGACACCGGGCCTCGCTTCTGCCATTCTGCTACCAGACAGAAAATTTCAGAAAGAGGTCAGTTTAAAACACACACATTTTAGCCAGGTTTTAAGTATAACTACCTCCTTAAATATAACTGATCCTATGATTATAAGCTTTTCAACATAGGTGTTAGTGATCCATTTTTTTGGACCTGGAAAAAAAAAGACCTCAGAGTGTCATAAAACTATGAAGTTTGTGCCAGTTTTCAGATGACCCCAAAATTTGGGCTGCTTTACAGGGATAACTAAATTCATGGCAAAGTAAGAATGGTAAAAGCTCATGCTAAAATACCCTGTCTAAAGTATGCTTTACTTTGGAAGGCATCAGCAACAGCAATGCACCATTTGCCAAAAATGCATTTCTATACCAACAAAAGTCTTGCTATTAGGGCACACCCTTGAGCAACTATCACACTGCACTGAACTCTTGAGACTATTCTGGAAGCATCACTGTGAGCCGCTGCTTCTCAGCGGGGGAGAGAAATGAAATTCAGCAGAAGCAGCAACTTTTGGAAGGAGAAGCACGGTTTGCCTCTTAGGCTGCTTTTCTCCTGGAATGGGTTTGAGAGATCCATACTTCTGGAGCTTTAAATCTGTGGACCGTTGACTATCACTCCGCCTCTTTTGAAGTTACAAAAATACCTTCTGTCTATGGTGTGGCGGGAATAGAAAGTTTGGAAAATTAAATCGGTAAGACTTCAGATAACCCAGATGACATACATGCAATAGCATTCCATGAAGAATTTATTCAGTCCAATCCCTTGCATGTAATTAACCAAGACACACAAAGTCTCCAAATTCTGCACTTCAAAAAAGGAGGGAAAATGCAAAGGTCCCGTGCAGCTCCCGGGACCTACTGAGAACCACTTTGTTACAAATGTATCCAAAAGCCCCAGCACCAGAGACTTGTGGGGCGCCACTCGTCCTCGCTGCATTCGCTCCGCAGCTTCCAGAGGTAGCGGTTGTGCTATGAAGGCAGACCCTGCCAAGCTGGCCGACAAGATGCTGCGTACCCCCAAGTGCTCGCGGTGCCGGAACCATGGTTTCCTGGTGCCGGTCAAGGGCCACGCGGGCAAGTGCCGCTGGAAGCAGTGCACCTGCGAGAAGTGCTCCCTGATCACCGAGCGCCAGAAGATTATGGCAGCGCAGAAGGTGCTCAAGAAGCAGGCCTCCGAGGAGGAGCAGGAGATGGCCCTTGGCGCGCACCGGCCGGAGCTGTTGTCTGGGGCTGCGGCCGCCGCCCCGGGCTCAAGCCTCCGCCAGCTGCTTCCGCTGGCAGTTTCCGGAGACCGGGAGGTAGGCCCGGAGTGCCGCGTGGCCGCGGGCTTCCCGGAGAGGCCCCCGCGGGGCCCGAGCCCGGGCCCGAGTGCCTTCCAGCCAGTTCTGGGCGGCCGCGGCCACGTGGGGCTGAGCGAACGAGCCACTGCGGCCGTGCCCAGTTCCGTGGGGCTCCAGCTCGGGGCGGAGGCCGCAGGCAAGGGCTACTCCGGCTGCTTGGAGCTGCGCAGGCCGCTGCGGCCCGTGCCCAGCCCGCCGTTCGCCGACTTCGGTAAGATTCCCGGGCCCCGCGTGGCCTCGCCCCGCCTGGGATGCCTCTCCGGGTTGCAGCCTCCCCGTGCCCCATGCTGGCGGCGCAGGCCACCCGGGATCTTACCGGGATGGGCCCTTGGGGTGGGGGTGGGGCAAATGCTTTCAGAGGTACTCCTGCTGTGGGAAACTGTTCTCTAAATAGAGATTTGGGTTGGGGGCCATTCTGCAAAGAGGTAAAAAGAGAGCTGGAAAGGAATGGGTGATTCTGACTGACGGCTTTTAACATGTAGCTTCTTGCCTTTCTGTATTGGGAGAAAGAAAATGGCCCCCAATCCCCTTAGCTGTGGCTTCTCCTTCAGGAAGATGCCCTAGCGAGATGGGCCCTACTGCACTTGCGCACTTCTTCCCGCCCTTTTCTTGGGCTGGTGGCGCCGTCTTCAAGACGCCCCTGTGGGCGGGCCTACGCAGTGATGACTGCGCCTGCGCACTCTTCCCTTTCCAGCCGCTGGAGGCTCCTCCCAGCCAACTTCCTTTGGAAGGGCCCTGGCCCAATGCGCCTGCGCACCCATTTCCGCCCTTTAGCTAGGAGTGGGAATGAGAGTTCTCTGTGCACCACTGGAGAACAGTTGGTCTCTTGATATTACCTCTTTTTCCACCGCTCCCACCATATGCATAAATTACATGGTTCCTTATGTTTTGGTGGTTTTTCAGTATTAAAAGTACAGTTTCAAGTCATACACAGATTTGAGGCTCTTTTTGGGTGCAGACACGTGATTTTTTTTTCTTTTTTGGTTTTCTCTATGGCACTGTGGTAGAAGGAGCACAGGAGGCCCGGAGACTGCTCAGTCACCTTAGGCAAGCTCCTTCCTTCTGTGGCAGTCTCTACCCTCTATGCTAAGGGGATTGGCCTGGATGTTCTCTGAAGGCCATTTCTGCCTTCTGGGACATTCTAGGAAAATTTAGATCCCCAGGAAACTAGAGGGGGAAGGCAGACCTGAAACAGCAATTCTAGAAGATACCTTTCCGTGGACACAGGGTCTTTCTCTGTTCCATCTCAACAGGGACTGAGTACTTAGCTGTGCCCCAACACTAGTGACGAAGAACCAAAGGGGGAAAAGTCCCTTTTGTTGCCTTCAAGGATCTTGTCCTTGTGGGAGGGACAGCGCTGATCAAGGAATCACGCAAATCAATGTATAGAGTTCTGATAACTGATGGTTTAGTTGTGGTTGAGGGAAGAGTAGGAGCTGAGTACTGAGGACTTACTGAGGCACAGTGGGGTTGGGGGGAAAAGCCTTCTAAACTGAGGGAACAGCATCTGCAAAGGCCTTGAGGTTGATGAGAAAGGAGAAACTGCTAGGTTATAGTGTGTGAGGAAGCTGGAGTGGAGGCGAGAAGCAGCCCTCATGAGGCTTTATGGCCGTGCCAAGGACTTTTTCTAAGAGCAGTGGGACATGGCTGAAGGGCTTAAAAAGCAGGGAGGATCAAAAGCATAATGGACGTGGGAGTTCTTTGTAAGTGGCTTTGAGTGTTGTGCTGTTACCTTTGTACAGTGATGTGATGCTCTTTTCTTTAGCTCTGTGTGTTTTTAACACTTCCTTCATTGCTTACCTTTTCAGGGCTCTCTCTGAGCATTAGCTCAGATTGTGTGATGGGGTCCGAGTACCTGGAGAGAGAGCCTTCCAAGCTGTACCCCAGCTGCTCCAACATGCATTCCTACTGCCCATTCCCACTGGGCTACCAGGATGGATCCCCCACTCCGGGGATCCCCCTGCAGCGGGGCTTCCGGCACGTGTCCTGCAGCCACTTCCATGGAGGAGCCTTGGTAAGTCCCATCTCCATTCCTTTCCCGGTTCCTCCTTATCCCAGATGCCCTATTGCTCTTATGGATCCTCAGTCCCAGGAAGCGAACCGATGGGCCAGTCTGTGCCAGGCCCTGAGCACTGGCAGGATGGACGCAACATTGACCGTGTGCAGTGCTCACCTCTCGGAGTGCACACATGTAGGCAGGTCCATTTGCGTGTAAACGGGTTGGCCTGGCTGTCTGGGCTGTGGCATGTGCTTTTCAGAGCTGGGGGGATCAGGCAAGAAGGAATGCAGACATAGCTTGGATAAGCCTGGGGGACAGCCGCACGGTACCACTGACTGAGTGAGTGACCGTTAGCCTGGACTCACTGCATGCTGGGCCCGGAAGGGTGCTTCATTTTGCTGGGCACCAGGAAAGAAGTCTCACTGTCCTGGCACCACACTGTTGAGGGCAGAGCCAGGAGCAGACGTAGGTCCCCTGCCCAAAGGTATGGGCCACTTGAGACTTCAGGCACCTTTCAGGAGGAGTTGAAGCTTAATCATGAAGAATAGGGAAACCTTCCCCAAACACCTGTCACCTCAGGGGATATTTGTTGAAAGAATGGATGAGGTTTAATCTTTTTGTAAGATCAGTGGTCCTTTACTAACTGCTGTGTTCTTTAAGCCTGGAATTTTGAATACTGAGTAAGGAAGAGTCAGGCCGTCTCTGTTGTGTGAGGTACAAGTCGGGGTGAACAGGTTTTGTGGCCTTGGTTACCAGCTTCTTCCAGACCAGACCTCTTGGCAACCCTGAGGCCGGTCAGGACTGCAGGATAGTCAGAAGCCTGGGTAACTAGTCCTGACTTGGCCCCATTGGGCTGGACCTGTGGGGCAGGTCGGTTCTAATGTAGCTCACATTCACGGAAACGTAGACCACCATTACCTTTCCTCCCTCTCTCAGAGTGGAAAGCCTAACCTGGGTGTTAGAGAGATGTTTCTCTTGCGGGGAGGGTAGAAAAGAGTGAGGACAGAGCAGGCTTCCTTGTTTAATGTGGAAAGTGATTGAAAAGAAAGAGGAACACTGGACATTTACATACCGGCCGAGAGTCTTAGCTGCAGAGCGGAGCCAGTGAGATGCCCTCCCAGATGTGTCCACACAGGTCAGGCACACAGGGCGCTGGGTCCCCACTCCGGCTGCAGCCCCAGCAGGATCTCTTCTGTCTGTTTTAGACATTGTAAAGTTTTACATAAGTCATTTTCCATTGATTCAAGGGAAAGAGTTTGAAAACCACTGGTCTTGATAATTTCCAGGGTGCCTACTGACCCTTATGGGAGCCATCAGGGTACGCTGTATTACCCCACTATAGAGTAGAGGAAGAAGACTCCGAGGAGTTAGGTATTTGTTTATGGTCACAAAACTGGGGAGGGAGGGCCTGGTATTCAGATTACGTAGCTGGTCAGTAACAGCATTCACCCCAAGTCTGGGCCCCTGGCACTCACTTTCTCCTTCCCAAGGTATGGCTGTCATGCAGAGACAGAGCAGACATGGCCCTTGACTCTCACCAGCACCCCCGCCACACCTGAACTCTGTGGGTGCTGCCCACCCCATTGCAGCCCAAGGAGAGCACAGTGCCTCCAGGCTTCACACAAAGAGGGGGCTCTGGCCAAGTGGAGCACGCACCCACCGTCTGCTCACACAGAAGCTCGGATGGAGCCTGGCGTCCAGGGTAGAGCTCTGATTGACAGGCTTGCCAGACGGCCTTTGTTAAGAGTGTGATCTCAGTTGGTTTATCGGGGCCTGAGCTGCCACCACAGGCCCCAGGCAGGAGCTGTGATCCAGGGAGAGACTTGGCTGAGCAGCTTGGAATTAAAGCCCTAATAATCCCCCTTCCTACCCCCTTCACGTCTGGAGAGAGGATCAGCATTTATTTCTGATGCTGTTTCAAACCCGAGAGCCTATGGATTGCTTTCATCCTTGTCCTGCTGCCCCCTGCCTGGGCTCTGAGATACTCCCCAGAGATGTGTTCAGCCTTGTCTTCCTGTGTCCCTGTCCCATTTGCTGCTGCTTCACTTCCTCTGTTGTCTTCCCGTAAAACAGCACAAGCTCAGGGCTGGACAGACCTGGGATCCAGTCCTGCCTCCACTGTTTACTAGCCAAATGGCCTGGGGAAGCCATCTAACCTCTGAGGGTCTGACTCAGGTTCTCACTCTGGCAGTAGGGGAACGAGTACCTATCTCATAGGGTCGTTGACGGATTGAAGAAGCTGTAATGCCTGGAAAGTGCCTGGCACAGGGCCTGGCACATAGTAGATACTTGAAGGTGGGCTTTCTTCTCTTCCTTGTTAGGAAATGCTGGGTTAATCTAAAGAGATTTTTGCAGACTGCCTCAAGGCTTTAATGTGCTCATGTGTGACTCACCGATGTGGGGGCAGTGTGTGGGGTTTCTCAAACTCCTTTGTCAAAGAACACTTTTAAGAGCACATAAAATATCTTACAGGACACTAGCGTTCTCCAGAACACAGCTTGTAAAGTGCTCTGAAGTTTCTGGATGCAGAAGTAAATAAGAGGAACTACATCTGAAATTCATTATGATTTTTTTATTGTTTCACGTCTTTGTCTGTTCAGTGCTAAGCTGTGTAGTCCTCCCTCCAGACGCCCCCATTCCAGCCTTAGCGACCCGTGGCACAAGCGTGGCTTCCATGTTCGGAAGAAGGGGCAGCCACACAGAGGGCTGCCCGCCGGAGTCGCTTTGCTGGGGTCCCCAGCTGCCCTTGCCTCAGGAACGGCTGTACTGCACCCAGCTCTTCTGTGGTGTTGGAATAGGGCCTCCAAAGGCCCCCCGACTCTATAGAGTCTAAGTCCTTAGCTGAATCAGGAAAAGGGACCATGGGGGGTTGGGATGCATTGGGACCCTTCCCCAGCACAGAGCGGTAGTCTGACAGACGGATCCAGTTCTGCCTCCGCTGCTTACCAGCCCTGTGGCCCTGGGCCCAAAGCTGCCCCTCATGGACACTGTGTGCCATCATTATCACGAGGAGGGTACTAGAACCTCCCTCCTGGGGTCAGGAGGGTGGAAGGAGGTCCCAGATCTGTGCATATACAAAAGGTCTCAGTGTGACTGTGTGGCTGTTCCCCAGGCTCACCTGAGATGTGTCTGAATTTCTTCCTGCCTCCAATCATTTGGGGGGTATCGGCCAAACACCCTGTCCCAAGTGCTCTGTCCCCAGGTGTGGGGGCCACACTGGTGAATCTACCCCTTGGGGAGCCCCCCATTGAGGAGCCTGAGACCCATTTGACCAGGCTGTCTGGCTAACCCTCTCCCTTTCTGGCTTGTGGGTTGCGTGTGCCCCGCAGGTGCCTGAGCCGGTGGGAGACTTCCAGCCCAGCTACTACCCGCCGCCGCCGCCGCCGCCGCCGCCGCCGCCGCCAGCCCCGCAGCCTCAGTTCCTCCCGCCGGGCTTCCTGTCTGCGCTCCACTTCCTGCCGCCGCTGCCGCCGCCCCCGCCGCCGGCCTCCTTCTCTCTCGCTGTCCCGTCTGATGCGGACAAGGAAACCGCTGGTAAGTGGGGCTCCCGTCCGTCAGCTTCTGGGGAGCCAGGAAGACTTTCTGGAGGCAGGGGGCCTAATCTGAAGTGAGAGAAGGGCCGCACTGGGCCCCGGGATGAGCTCTTGCCCTAAACCCCTCCCTTTATTCCATACGCAAGCATCTGAGAGAGGGGGTCCCCAGTCTCAGGTGCGAAAACCAGTGGAACCCAGAGAGGGTCTCGCATATGTAAATGGCAGATGGCAGCGCGCGGGTTTCCACAGAACCTGTCTGGCTCCGGCTGCGATGCTAATTCCCTGCCCTTATCCGCGCCTGCAGGCGGAGGTGCGGCGGGGGGCTGGCGCGGGCCGAGACCGAGGGCCCAGGCTTCTCTGGCTCGGCTGGGCCTCTCCGGCCAGGCAAGGAGCAGCAGCTGGAGCTGGGCTGGGGCCGCTACGGATGGCCCTCTGCCCCCGGCCGCTCTGTGGAGAGTCAGACCGGGAGCTAGGCCCGTCTGGTCGTCTGTAAAGTGGGACCTGTCGCAGAGTTCCTGTGACAGTCCACGCACGTTTCGGATGTAAAAATGCTTTCGGTTTCCTTTTGAGGGCTCTTGCAGCTTTAAAGGTTCTAGGATTTTTTTCCCTTTCAGTCCTTCCGTGAGGCTCCTCAGGGAAAGGAGGTGAGGCCTACTGCACACTTGCTGTGTGTGAGACACCCGGGTGCACAGGCCGGAGAGATGGAATGTGGCTTGAAGGCCGCGGAGCCAGACGGCCTGGGGGTCCCGACTCCAGCACTTAGCGGCTGTGGGACCCGCGGCAAGTCCACGCACTCCTTGTGCCTCAGCTTCACCTTCTGCCAAAGTGGACCGATGGTGCCCACCTCAGGAGGGGATTCCGAGGACCTGACCCCGGGGATGGCATTAGCGTTGGTTCTTATTTCCTGTCATCCCCTTGCTGACGTGGTGTTGTGAGGCAGAAAGACGCTGAGGTTCAGAGCTGCGGGGTAGCTTGCTTCTCGCCACCAGCTGGCGACAGGCAGAGCTCGAGGGTGAGCTGGAGTCTGTGTCACGGGGCCGCGGCTGCGTGGCCAGCGTCCGGACACCTAGCAAAGAACGGCAAAGGTGTTCTCCGCTGGGGCTGGGGATGGTGAGACTGCCTGACAGAAAGTCTACCTCTGAAAGTAGGTCATTCCCCTCTTTGTAAATCCAGCCCCTCCTCTTTGTCCTTCACAGACAACCAGGACCAGGACCAGGACGCGGAGGGGCCCGAGGCGCCACCCCGTGAGCCCAGCCAGCCGTCCTCTCAGGAGCCGTCTGACTAGGCCCGGGCACTGGGGCCCGTGGGCTGGGGGCGTGGGGGTGTAACAGCAATGATGTTCTTGTCCACATTCGGCCATGTGTAGGGAGGAAGGATAGTGGTAGGTATAAGATGGCAGTTAATTTCCATTTCAAGACAGGAGGGAGGAGGGTGATTTCTAAAGTTCTCTCAATCCTGAGATGTGGCATTGACCAGGAGCGTGGAGGATGGTTAGCAGGGGAGGGCCAGGGCTCTGAGGATTGCGGGGCTGGTGGAAGCTCACATTTAGGAATGAATTTAACCGAGTCTGGGTTGTGTGGCTGTTAAACTCACTCCCAGGTGCGGTCTTTGATTTCCTCAGGCCCCGCTCTAGCACAGGAGGCACCATCTATTTCAGCCTTCTGCTTCTGCCTCTGTTTGGTCCCAGCTGGGGGCAGCACAGACACCAAGCGCCCCTGCACATCCAGGTGGCCGGTGTGGGCAGCGGGGCCCCGGGCGCTGACAGCCGGTTCTGCAGCATCCCTCCCTGTTGCCCTGTCCCGCGAGGGCTGCCTGGCCACTGCCCCTTGCCCCTTCTCCACGGGGCTTCACTAAGCATTCTGACCGCTGAGGCTGCTTCATCTCCCCTCCATAAAGTTCAAGCCACTATAGGCATCATTTCTGGTTAAAAAAAGTCTATTAAAGTTTGACTATTTGATATTTTTATAGTGATTGCCAACTTTAAAAAGTAGGCTGTTCATAAGCACTGATGCTGTTCTCAGAGAGTAGAATGGTGCTTCTAAATCCCCCCTGTATCCGTTTCTTTGGGGACAGTAGACTGTTGAAATAAAATAAGCAGTAGAAATTGTCGTGGAAGGTTTATTCTCTCTTTAAATCCTTGTGGGAGGATGGTGTTGGATAAGGGGTCGGGTCTGGGTCTGGCAGGTCCCTCCCTAACCTACCTCCCCTCTCCCTTTGCCTCTGTTAGCCAGCGAGAGGCTTGGGCCAGGCTACTAGATTTCTGACTATCATTATTGGTATTATCACCATTTTTTTTAAGCAGTGGAGACCTTTTGAGCAAATCTGATGCAGACCCAAAATATAAAGATTTCTTTTAGTTTCCCTCACCCAGCTGTAGGGGTGACAGAGAAGACCTTCTGGAGAAGTTGGGGTCTCAACTCCATCTTGAAGGTGAAAGTAGCACTCCCAGTAGGGGGTTGCACAGAGTAGGGGACTAGATTGAAGGATTCTGGGTGAGAGACCGTGTCTTGTTCTCTGTCCAGGGAAGGACTGGAGTCAAGAAAACAGGCTGACCTGCTTCCTGCCTGGCCTATAGGCAGGGGTGTCCCAGCACCCTTATAGGACAGGTGGCAGGACAATCTCTGAGAAGTGATACTTGGCTGTTCTCCCAACGTCAGTGCGGTGGCTGGGCCTGGGCCTGCTCTGTTGGAAGGCACTGGAGCAGGATACAGTCCTAGGAATGTTTCAGTTACTGCTTTACAGACGATTCTTTGAGTGGGGCCGACCTAAGTACGCCAAGGCCTGTAGGTCAGCATTGGCTTCAGTCTGGACCAGATGATGTGATTTTGGACTAGCCTGGTTTTGAGGCTGAAGCTCCTCCCACCCCAGCCCTCCCCTCACAACAGTGCTGGTCCTGCCCCTAGGTTCACAGGACCGCAGGAGCCCTGGTTTCCAGTTGGCCCCATTCCCCCTGACCTCATTGGACCCTGGCCTGTCAGTACGGCCAAGTAAGGCTGGATTAGTGCCCCTACTTATTCATTACACTTTTATTTTAGACTCCATGTTTTGAAAGATTTTTCAACCAAGCTGCATTAAAGTATTTCTGATCAATGCACACAGGTATGAGAGTCTGACCACATGGACTCCATAACATTCCAGACCAATGCAAGGACACAGGATGTTTATTTAGCCTGTGGGGTTTGAGATTGGAAGCTTTGGCCTGCTGAGAAGGGCAGTGTCCTGTTGCTGGAGTCCATGTCCACAGGACTCCACAGAGGGGACAATTGCTCAGTTCTTCTACAGGCCTATGATCTGATGAATCTCTGGAGACTAGCATCTTTCCTGGAAACTTGGCAGATGGGGTGAAAAGAACCGTGGGGCAGGGTTGGAGACTTGCCTTCCTCCCTTACCCCTGGTGTGAAGCCCAAGTTCTGATAGCCCCAGCTTGTTCTCACCGTGCTTAACTTACCTCAGAGGGGTCACTGGACCCCTGCTCTCTGTTGCCTTCCCAGTCAATCCGGTCTTTGCTCCCTGAATGCCCTGTTCCTCCAGGCTGTCCTTCAGCAGCAGTGGCATGAGCACTGAAACACCAGATCTGTGCATGTTGCTACCTGGCTCACACACCTTCTATGGCTCCCTACTGGTCTGGGGCCAACATCTTCAACACAGTCAGCCTGCCCACCTCTCCAGCCTCCTCTCCTCACAGGCTGGCCCAGCCCGGTCTTGCAGGAGTAGAGTCTGCCAGGTCCAGGCAGAAAAGTATGGGAAGAGAGAAACGGAGCCAGCAGCAGCACTACTCATCCCTGACGGCTGAGGCTTGGCTATAAGCTGGGAGAATGTTCTGGAAGGCAGCTGGCTGGCATTGCCTGACGCCGGATGTACTATCAGAGCGCCGTCGGGGGGGGGGGCGCGGGCAGCAACTGTGGGCGGGGCCCGTTGCCTAGCGACTGGCCGCAGAGAAGCGCGCAGGTCCGACGCCCGCGGAGCCGAAGAATAGTTTTTCTGCAGCGCCCGGCTTGAAGCGCCCCCCAGAGACCTGGGATCTCCGGGGGAGATCAAAATGATGAGCCTCTAGGGTGGGCTGTGTGATTGCCAACTGCTCAGCAATCATCTTTGCACTGCCCTGCCTGTGAAATAGGTGCCCTTCTATCCGTCTTCAGACACCAGTCCCAACCCCAACCCCCGTCCCTTGGCTTATTCCTCTCCTTTCTCTCCTTTCTGCACTTTCACGCATGCGGAGTCCTCTACCTAGACTCCTTCCAGTTTCACCTACTCATCTTAGCTCCGCTGCCCCCTCCTCCAGACCAACTCAGCTTGGGTTAGGAGGCTTCTGCAGGGCCTGTCCAGGCCCTCTGTCGCCCTTTCTCACCTGGACCCCACTGAGTAGATGTCCCTCCTCCCACAAGTCTTCAAGCTTCCTGGAGGCAGAGACAAGGTGTTGTTTCTTCCTGTGTCCCCAGCTCCCAGTGTGGGCTCAGCATTGGTGAGGCACGTACTATCAAGTGCCTGTTACAGAACGAAAAGCTGAATCTCAGGGTCACCTTGGGCATTTGGGGTGGAGAGTTGAGTTGCCCTGCCTCTGGCCACCCACCGCAGCATCTTTTGCCTTAAGGTTTGTGCTCTGTCTGCTGGGAGTCCACAGGGGGCAGAGGAACAGGGAGTGAGCCTTTGCTGAGACTACACTGTGTGCCAAGCACCACACTCCTTCCCTCACTGAATCTTCACAACAAGCCAGGGAAGAGGTGTATTATCCCTATTTGATGAAGGAAAGTGAGGCAAAGAGAGGGATAGTGATTTGCCCAAAGTCACATAGCTTCTAAGTGACCAAGGGGGTGCAGAGGGCCACATACATCCCTGAGCACAGCTACAGAGTTTGTAATATCCATTTCTCCCTGAGTTACTATCTTCAGATTTGTTTTTAAACCAGGTGAATGCACCCTAGTTTCTGAGCAGGTTCAAACATAGCATAGGGAGAGCGGCCTAAGGACACTGGCCTCTCGAAACCACTGCCACCTTCTGACCACAGCACCCAGAGCCCCCTGAGGAAATGCTAAAGTAGGCATTGTGGTGACCGGTGTGGAAAGGGCTCTTGGGATCCCTGGGCTTGAAGGCGGTCAGCATCTGCTGGTGCCTGAGCTCCGATCGTGGCCTGGGGTTCACCGTAAGCACCACTGTGTGAGCCAGGATTGACAGAATGCTTGTTCTTGAGGTTCGTGTGGAGCAAGGAGGTGTGTTTTCTAAGGCTGCACTAATAGGTTTGGTCCCCAAAACCCTCCTGGAGAGCTCTCCCACCATGACACCCCCCCTCCAGTCTTCCTGGAGAGAGGGGGTGTTCTGCACCTTCTTGTAGACAAAACACACCCCTCGGGACCCGGGGCAGGGGACGAGATCCTCTCTCTCTGCAGCTCTGGGGATCCTCACATCTCCTTCCACTCCTGGGTACTGTAGTCTTGGTGGACCTGGGCCTACGTTCCTCTTACTGGGGAGCTGCTCAGAGACCCTGGATGAGTCATGGCCTCTTCTCATTGGCCAAGGCTCAGGGTCTTCAGGCCCTGCTCTTCCTCCTTGCCTTTCCCTAGCTGTGTGTTCTTGGGCACAACCCATATCCTCTCTGGCCTCCCTTTGCCCCCCGTAACATTGGTTTAGGGGCGTGCTGAGAACGCAGGGAGCTCTTGCATGAAATACCACCTCTGATGCCACCTTGGTGTAGGGTGTCTGTGGTACCTGTATCGTCGGATGATTGTCAGCAGCCTCTTCTTTAAAACTGTGTCAGGTGGGGAAGACTTGCAAAGCCCAGTAGCTGTGGCTCTTTACTTCCTGGTGCTCCCTATGTACCAGGCACTGTACTGAGCACTTTCCACAAATTCTCTCTGTGAATTCTCACAGTGACCCCCACCCCCCAGGCAGGCACCATAACACCCCCGTCTGCAGAGGGCAAGATCGACGCCTACAGAGGTCAGGTTCTTGTGCTTGGCCATACTGTCTATAAGTGGCAGAGCTGGGGCTAAATCCGAGTTCCACCCGAGTCTAGAGCTGAGGTCCTAGCCATCTTATGCTCTCTTGCTCCCCCACAAGGGAGAGGCATGAGTCTTGGGAGGTTGTGGAGCCTCCTGGGATGTGCTGCCCAGCCCAGCTGCTCTCCAAGATGTGGACAGGCTGCGTACACACAGCAACTTGGCTCAGTTCTCACACAAGGAATGAAATCATTTAAATTTTTTTCCCCCAAGCCCTGTAATTTCATTTTGAAAATTGGAACAAAGAAGCATGAAGTCAGTTTTTAAGGAAATGAGTATTAATAACATATTAATATTTTAATCGAAATCCTTTCACAGGGTTGCTGGGAAATTTATCAATAATAATGCTTGCAATTCAAGTGTAACCTGGGAAATAGTTTTGACTTTGACTGGGGTAATTTCTTCTCATGCTCATTTCTTCATCTCTCCCCAGGAGATGTTTGTTTGTTTTTCTTTAAAAATAATTAATTGTGAATATAAGGAATGCATGGAAATCGTACACAATTTATAAGTATAAGCCAGAAACAGATTTTCCCCCACTTCCCTTGTCCCCTCTTGTTTCTCTCCTCAGCAGTGTCCCCCTTTCTGTGTGTGTCTCCTCCCAGAGACAATTTGTACAAGCTTTATTATGTTGAACTAATCTTTAATTTTGAGATAATTATATATTCGCATGCACTTGTCGGAAATAACACAGAGAAATCTCATGGACGCTTGACCCAGTTTCCCCCAATGGTTACATGATGCAAAACTATAGTATAAGATCACAACCAGAACATTGACATTGGTACAGCCCACCCATTTATTCAGATTCACTTTTACCTGTTACATTTGAGTTAATTTTTGTATAAGGTGTGAAGTTTAGGTTGAAGTCTCCTTTTTTTTTTTGGCCCATGGATGTCCCAGTGCTCCAGCACCATATATTGAAAAGACCATCCTTCCTCCATTGAATTGTTTTTACACCTTTGTCAAACATCAATTGAGCCTACTTGTGTGGGTCTATTTCTGAGGTTTTTAATCTGTTCCATTGATCTGCTTAAAAAAAAAAAAAAAAAAGCCACACAAATGGTAGCATATGATCCATGCTGTTCTGCACATTTCTCTTTTCATTAACACCAGATCGGGGCTTCTGAGCCTTTTTTGAGCCATGGACCCCTTTGTCAGTCTGGGAAAGCCTCTGACCCCTTCACAGAGTAGTGTTTTAAATGGATAAAATAAAACACATAAGGTTACAGAGGAAACCAATTATGTTTAATATACTTGTCAAAATAGAGAAATACATTTGTGGTTTAGTAATACATGCATTTCTTTACTAATGCATTAAATAACAAGATCGAGCGGTGGGTGTAATCATTATTAATAGTTTCAAAGTCGTGATGTAACTGATATTTCTGAGATACCTGCAGCAACTGTAAAGCCGTATGAGAAAATCGGTGACTTCTCTGGTGACCAAGTCACTGATAATTCTTCCAGGGTTTGCGGCCTAAATTCATAATTGAAGGAAACACTGAATTACAGTTAGAGGTTAGCGAAAATTAAGATGTAATTCTTCCCCAGCCAAATTCACAGAGCCCTTAATTCACTCCCTGACCCAAGTCATGAACTTCTTCTGCATTCAAGTTTGGAGAGACTCCTGGCTGTCTCATTCTTGTTAGCCCCTGTGTAGTATTTCGTTGAAGGGATTCGTCGTCCTTTACTTAACCAGTGCCCTGCTATGAGACTTTGAGGTGGTTTCCAATCATTTGCTGTGACTGTTAATTTTATATATGTTTTTCTCCTGCTGGAATTTTCTTCTCAAGTGGGGCGATCCAGCTGACCCCTCAGCAATCAGAGACCCTCGGCCGGTGACACACACACAGCTGATCTGCGGAGGGCATCCTGGCCAGCAGGCTCCAGCCCACGCCGTCTCCCTCCTTCTGGGGCTGTCCACTCCCCACACCGGGACATCCATCCCCCCCTGCCCCGCACGCGCTGGCTAGGGATCCCACTGTAGCCATGGCAAGCCAACAGGCAGGCAGGCTGGGGAGGGTTCCCCAAGCTGGGCAGCATCCTGTGAGCAGATGTACAGCTCCTCTGAGCCTTTGTGCTACATTTTATTAACAGCAGAGAGTAAGATGCTAACATTCTATCATGTCAGCTCTTGCATTTGAGCTAGCACAGGCATGGGCCTGTCAGTAATTAGCTGCTGGGTGGTGTCTTTTCTTCATCTTTTTTCTTTTTATAATTGGAATCAGAACATCTTTTTTCTTTCTTTCTTTCTTCTTCTGAGTAGTAGACGCGGTCCATGGAACATTCTGTGGGGACTTGGCTGTTTTTCCACATTCATGGGCAATTAATTCCCAGCTCTAAGCCAGTTCCCCAGCAAACACTGAGTTGCCTTCTGATGTCGTCAGCCATTTGCCAAAACAATTGCCCCCCCTTCGCCCCACTTGGGAAAAATGAGCGATAACACCTCAGTCTGAAATGTGTGAAACGTACCTGGTTTTGAAACCCTGGCCATTTCACGGTCAGTCTGTAATTAAGCCAGTGCTTTTGAACATCTGGCTTTTAGATTTTTTTTTTTTCCAATTTGGAGTAAATTTTTTTACTACCACAGTATATTAACATCAGTCATGGGGTGATGCCAGCCACCACCTCCAACATCCGCAACAGCCCGTGTTCTGTTCCCAGAGTCAGTGAGCACTTATCAGGCACCGACAGTGGGCCCGGCCTTGTGCTGCCCCCACAATGAGGTGGGTGCTTCCCTCTCAGATCCTGATCTGGGCATCCTAACACCCCAATCTGACCACTCCCCCACCTAAACTCTTCTCTGGCTCCCCACTGCTCCGGGACCAAGGCCCAGCTCCCCAGGCTGGCCTGCAAGGCCTTCAAAACCTGCAACTCAAGTGATTGTTCCAGGGTCTTCTATGCCTTTAGTCCTCATTGCACAGGAATTTCCCCAAATGCCTCTAGGCCTTGCTGGTGCGGTGTTCTCTGCCTAGGCCAGCCCTCCCTCAGGCCTCATCGGCACCTCCGAGGAGCCTGCTCAGAGCCTCGAGCAAGTCCGGCCTTGCTTGCCCTTGAGGCCAGCTGTGCCCTGCAGGTCTCCCTCCAAGACTTCGTGGCACTCACTTGCCTCTTCTCTGGGTTCATCGCAGGTAAGGATGACATCTAACTCCCTCATTGTGGTCCCCAGTGATGACCTTGGGGCCAAATCCAGTGGTCAGTTCTCTGTCTTCTGTTCCCTCGACCTCCTAACCCATTTTCACACATTTGTCTAGACTTCTGGGACACTCCTCTCTCCTTCCTGTCTCATGGCTGCTGCACCTCCATCCCTTGCGCTTCCCCCCCTTCTCTGCCTGCCTTCTGCATGTCAGCACTCCCCGGTGGGGCCTGGGCTCTCCTTTCTGCTTCTCAGGGCTCTTTCTCTCGAGTGGCTCATGCAGGTCTATCCCTTACCCTCCATCTAGTACCTGGTAAGGGCTAGCCTGGGCTCTGGACATGTGTCACCTTTCTCTATGCGACCTCTCCAACTGCCTGTCTGGTAGGTATCCTGGCCATGAGGGTTCTGGTAGGAAACAGAAGTCAACTTGGAAGGTTCAAGAGATTCACAAATAGTGCTCCCTGAGCGGGCTGGAGGCTGTGGAGGTGGGTCTGTCATACAGGGGCTGTGGTCACAAAGGAATAGAACTGCAGCCCCCCAAAGTAGCCCAGACCATAGAGGAAACCGGGTGGAAATAGCCCTACCTTGCTCTCCTCCCACTCTCTGATCTCCTTCTAGTGCCTTCCATTGGCCAAACTCAACCAGAGGCCGGAGGGCCAAGGAGCCTGGGTGATGCTGTTCATAGTGCTCTGGTTTGGTCCTGGGGCACAGAAGGGGGCAGAGAAGGGCCGAGAATGGGATGGGGAGGGGCACACGGAGAGTCACTCTTGCAGTCCCCTGTGCCACACTCCCGATCTTTGCTCTTCTCTCAGAGCAAGAAAGGTTCATCTTAAAAATGGGGGGAGAGAAATGAAGCCCCCAGCTGCTGCCTTGCCGTGAGTGCTCTCCGGCAGTGATGCTCCCACCTGAAGCCTGAGCTAGGACGTGAGCTAGATGGCAGGGAAGGGGAAGGAAAGTAATCCGTCAACATACGGTGTAGACGGTGGTGGCGGTCCCCATGACTGTTTGGATCGAGAGGCAGAAGTCAGTCATTCCTGCTGTTTTCTAGCACCCATTCTGTTACCCTCATGCTCTGGAAGCACCACGGCTGGGGGGAGTTCCGTACTGGGGGCGGGGGATGACCCAGTTCTTTACCCTCCCAGGGCCTGAGTCCTCGTCATCCTGCTTTGGTGCGTGCCGCAGCTTCCCACCAACTGGAAGCGTCTCTTCCCCGACCTCAGTGGCTCCCCGGGGGACGCCCCATTCCCCATGTGCTGCAGAGCCCACTTGCCTGTTGGTAATCAGGATCACCCACCCAGGCCAGCACGGCGACTCTGCCTATCAGTTCAGTGGCTTGAGGAGCTCAGAGCGGCTCAGAGGAAGCCCAGCTGCTAATCGAGTGGAATCATGGCTGTGTTTCCGGGCCAAAGCCCCTTGAGAAGGGCTATGGGGAAGGAGCGCCCCCGAGCCTGCTGAGCCAAAGCCCGCTGTCATGGTGTGGATTCCTCAAAAACAGACCTCCAGCGTGAGGTTTGGTGGAGAAGTGATTTATGAAAGAAGTACTCTTAGGGGAGGCCAGGAAAGGGGAGTGGGGGGCAGGACAGGGAAGGGGGGAATGCCAGAATGATGCTGTTTCAGGTCAGCTCTCAGCCTCAGTGCAACAGCTCTGGAGTGGATGTCATGCCTCCAAGTTATCTGCACACGAGGCCAGAGAGTTGGACTTAGGCGCCCCTCAACTCTCAGTCACTGGTTAAGGGCTGCCCGGGGGTGATGTACACGCCCAGGCACCTCAAGCTGTTTGAGCCTGTGGGCCAAGCAGGTTCTGGGGGTCCAAGGGATGTTCTTCAAAATGAGCCTCAGATGCACCTGTTGGATGCAAAAACATGCTGAACCCAAGAGGGGCCCAAATATGGAAAAAAGAAATCCAAGGGGATCTGGGCAGAGCTCAACATGATCTGCTGTGTTGCAGAGATGGGAAACGAAAGTTCTGTAAGAGAGTTAGGGAGGTGTAAGCGTGAGCGGGCTCTGGTGATGGTTGCACAATGTGAAGACGCTAAAAACCATTGAATTGTACACTTGAAACGAGAGAATGGTGTAACATGCGAATCCCATGCAAGCAGGCTGTTACTGAAATAAAAACATGAGTGGGGATGCTCCTGGTGGGAGACAGCACCATCCACTGGTCACTAGTTAGGGCACACATCCCATCCTACGTGACAGCTCTGTTAGCTCCCACGGTTAGCTTCCAGCTGGCACTGCCACTAAACCTTCCGAGGGCTGCCCCACCGTCCCCACAGGCTAGCTGCTAGGTGCAAGCCCGCGGCCACACTGCTGTCCCTGTTTATTGCATTCCTGGGTTGGAGGCAATACAGCACGGCATAGCCTGGTAGTGGAGAAAGCATTCTGCATGGCCACAGATGGTTCTACTGGCAGAAGCATCCAGCAGAGAAGGCAAATCTATACCCAGATTCCAGGAGGATTAATTGATGCACTCCTATGTGATCAACTTGCCATCGTCATGGTTTCCTGGGGAGTGGTGCCCAAACTGGGCAGCACTGGCCTGTGTTACAGGCAGGCTGGGCCCTCAACAGTGGCAGTAGCCAAATCAGCTTTGGTAGGGGGAGGTCCATGCTGTTGAGCCTGTGAGAAGCCTCTACCCCGGCTGGTATTCATATGTTGAAGGTCCAACCTGCCTGTGTGACTGTATTTGGAGATGGGGCCTCTACTGAGGTAATTATGGTTAAATGACGCTCTAGAGGAGGGGCCCTGATCCCACAGGATTAGTGTCTTTATAAGAAGAGACACCTGAGAGCTCCCCCTCTCTTCCTTTCCATGCACACAAAGACAGGTCATGGAAGCACACGGTAAGATGGCACCACCTCCAAGCCAAGAGAAGAGGCTTCAGAATGAAACCCACCCTGCTGGCACCTTGACCTTGCACTTCCCAGCCTCCAGAACCATGAGGAGTGAAATTCCGTTGTTTAAGCCACCCACTCTGTTATGGCAGCCCACTCAGACTAATACACCTGCTGCCGTGGGCACTTTGTTCACGAGCCCATGGAGCGAGGACGGGCCTGGCTGGGGAGAGAGCTGCACTCACGCCCAGAGGGTGGGTCATCTTGTCCTTCTAGTTCACGAAAGCCTCTTCTACAGTGGCTACCCTCTAGTGCGCATTTACATGGGAGACGAAGGTCTTTGCCCCTTATCTATCTTGAGACGCTGGGCCACATACCTATCTCCTGGTCCCCAGCTTTCCGATCTTGTTCTTTTCAAGTCGCCGAGCCACTGGCTCACCCAGGAACCTCTGCCCATGGATCAGTGGAAATGCACACCTCAGGCTATCACTTCTTGCACTGAAGGGGGCGGTCAGGCACCCATGGGAGAACCTCCCTTCACGACTCTCTTTCAGGGCAGCCCTGAGTGGGGCCATAATGTGTCTCCATCCACTCCAGTGCACACTCATTTGTAAACCTGGGGCTTCTAGTGGTTTCTCTTCTGCTATCTGGTCACAGGGAATTCCCCCAAAGGGATGGCAGAACCCCAGCAGCAGGTCCCATGGCATCTAAGCCATGTGTCCATTTGATTTGCTTGTGCCTTCTGGACCTGCTCCAGCCCAGTTTTGTGCATGCGTGTGCGCTGAGCGGGGAAGTGTGGCTGCTCACACCCAGCTTTACGATTTGGGGCAGCGGATCCAATCCAGGGTGTTCCTTTTGCTGCGAGCGTGACAGATTACTATGGACTTAATGGCTTCAAACAACACCCACTTCTCATCTCACAGTGTCCGTAGTTCAGAAACTGGGTAACTGCACACCTGGGTTCTCTGCTCGGTGTCTCACCAGACAGAAATCAGCAGGACGGCCAGGACTGCAAGGTCATCAGAGGCATAGGGTCCTCATCCAGACTCATTCAGCTTGTTGGCAGAATTTGGTTGCTGGCAGTTGCAGGACTGGGGTTCCCCTCTTCCTGCTGGCTGTTGATTGGGAATCACTCTCAGTCCCTACAGGCCATCCTCCGGTCCTAACCACATGGGTCTCTCCCAGCATGCTAGTTTCTTCTTCAGGGCCAGCAGGAGATTCTCTCTCCAGTCAGCTAGGATAGGGTCTTACATAACATAATCACAGGAGTGACGCTTGAGAGACTCAAGCAAGGGGGATTATACAGGGCACATATACCGGGGGCAGGGCCCTTGCAGTCATTTTAGAATTCTGCCTGCACGGGGCACCAGGCCGGCTCCGTCGGTTAAGTGTCTGACTCTTGATTTTGGCCCAGGTCATGATCTCAGGGTCTTGGGATCGAGCCCCAT